GTGATGAAATCAACTGTCAGCATCAAAAGTTTCTCCGACATGCTTTAATGGTTGCTGGTGTAGAATTTGCCGAATAAAAAGCATCTATTATTACACTTTTCCATCGATAGAATCGATCGTTCTGAAAAGCCGATCCTTACCAATTCCGTGGATCCAACCTGTGGTGTCTGATCCAGTGAAAGCGTGGCACAGCAGTATCGTGTTTACGTGCCTCCAATATTAGGGTGAGTCTAAATCGTATTTCATAATAAAACTTTTTTAGACCCTTATGTAAGACCAAAAACTAGGAGCAGAATGTCTATACCAAGGAATCAACCAAACCATTATTTAACATGCCAAAACTCCTTACTGGTTCCATAATCTTTACAAAACTTCGTACTATAACTGAACTTTTTAAAATAGTGAAATAAATGGGTACCCATACTCTCTACTCTTTACTTAACATGTCTGAACTTAGGGATTACCGTCTATACCACCAAAGCCAAGCCCATAACCTTTATTTATTAAATGCTTCTTGGCTTTGGAATCAATTCAATTCAAGGACTCCCCAGAACCACAGAAAAAAGAACCTGACATTGTGAACACATCCTGTAACTCATCAAATCAGTCTAAACCGATCTCTTCTAGATGCCCAAAGCAGTTTCGATAATGGAGGTTTGCATAGATGACAACTTTAACAGTTTTTGGACCATGCTTGAGATTATTGATAAAAACGTGGAAATTTATGTAAACAAATACTTAATTACTAAATATTGCCGTTTTCCCGTACGGCGCATAACGTAATAATATGTTAAAAGCGCGCGCAGCTAATCCCTACCTCAACATTTTGCGCGGTTTTCTTATCGCGCACGTAACGTATTATTCTTGGCCGTTAATCAGACCCGTGACATAAACGCTATAGGTGGCAGTGACTGTAATTTACTTTCAACAATTACTGGAATCTACCATCCATAAAGTGAGTTTACAAAATGACACCGTAAACCTCGTGTTTCGTGTTCACTTAAACTTACTGGCGGCTGAACTGTGGTTTCGACGTTTGCAGCAAATCGGACTTCTGCATGATATTGTATTAGCAAATTTGTAAGTGGTATAATTGTTTAGTGTTTATAATCACTCTGCAACCTTAGCACGGCTAACACAAAAACAAATGTTGTCCTGGCTTGTGCAGTAACCAAGTAAAAAAACACGCACGGGCCAGATAAAAGCCGGGATGTCTGGAGAAACTCCGCAAAATGGGTTCATTGAGTCCACGGGCACAAAGAAGCAACTACTAGCATTGTGTCCTTTACCCTCCTCATACTTTGAAACATTTTGTGGCGAACTCATTGAACAACATCGAATTAATAAAACAAAAGGTAAGTAAGAACAGAAGTTAAAATTATTACCAAATATTCAATCAATACATATCATAAATTCTAATAATGGAAACACAATGCTAAAAGGATGCTTAAACTATAATATTGTTTGTGACCTAAAAATCTAATGACGTTTCAACAGTTGAATTTTAGTTAATTATGAAATGCCACCAACATCATAGTAGGGTAAATGTTATTTTTAAATTTAAAATGAGAAGATTGCACTATGGCGTAAAATGGTTAAATTCTAGCAAAAGATAATCTTATTTTTAAATATTATGTTACAGTTTATGACAGTACTGGTGCATGGACTTATTTATTGATGGCTGGTAAAAGGACCCAGTTGCAGAAAGGGCTTTACCGAACCCCAGGGTGACCACATGTGATAAATCATGGCCAGATGTTACATATGTATATCTATAATTTATTTTGGAGCTATGATTAAGTGGTATAGTGGTTGTCATTTTTAAAGGTCAGTTTATCCTTGTGTGCTAATTATCCATCCAGATGCTTAGTGTGTGGTGTAAATCATGCCCATCTACGATATATAGCTTTTGACCATAAATTTGTTTTTTACCACAAACTGAGGCACTAATGTCAATTAACTTATTTAATTCATTAGATATTTAAAGCGTGTTTTTCCCCAGCACACTACAAAAACAACAAAAACCTGTCGCCACCTGAGGAAACACGGTCGCAGAACAAAGCCAATTGTGCTCTTTTCTATTCTGTGATCTTGTGTCTCTACTATAAACTAGCTAAAATATACTAAAAAATTTAATGAATCATTACAGTCGTTTGATACTTTCACGTGTCAAAGTAATGTTCATGGTGGATCAAATTTTTCTTGAAACCCGGGTCAAACACATTCGACCGAAAGTGTCAAGGCAAACCTGTCGATGTTTCACCATACGAAGTAAGGCGAGTTTGAACATATACTCAGCTTACAACTCAACCCATGGGACGATGACGTCGGAGATGCCTCAAAATTCCTTCAAATATACAGCACATACCTAGATAGCAAACTACTAACACACATACATACGATACCAAATAATGTATAATGCCCAGAACTAATTCGAAGAAAATATTATCAGCTATACTAATTTAAAACTTGAGGGAAGACTAAACCTGAAGGAAGGGAAGGAGAGGGTTTTTGGGATAGGCAGAGTAGGAAAACAACAGGATCCTGAGCGCAGGCTTTTAAAATTTGTTGAATGATATTCGTTTTGTTTCGCTCTAGATTAATATATAGGTCATGATCCCTTGTCCATGGTTCTTTGCAATAACACCGTGGTTTTACTCATAGATAAAGTTAGTTAATTAACCTATTTTCCAATGATAATTCATTTGCCCAAAGTTGTAACGAGCACCATAGTTGACTGTCATATTTAGATTGTGTTCTCAAACAAAGCTTTCTTCAGATTATTCTTTGAATATACTTATAGAGTGGAGAAGTCCTATTTCACTCGTAGACGTACGCAGTGAATCCAAATAGCTGTTGATATGTAGATGATTAGTGATGACGGAGTGGTGGGATGAGGTAGTTGACTCGTATTGGTGACCTGTTGAAAAAGAAACATTGAGACTGGTGATTGGAACTTATTAAATTTAAAACAGTTCCAGTAAACAGTGTGCAACTTATGAAAGATTGTGGACAGACAGGAAGTATATACACGTTACAGATTGGTTTACTGTGTTCTAGTTCAAAGAAATCTTTGCGCTAACATCTGCTGATAACTTTACCGGTCTTATCCCTAGTGATAGGCCTTACTCTGGCACATTTTTTTGAACATATTGAAGTACTGCACATTATCACCAAAGAGAATTCTATGCCATTTCTTTTGTGTTTAACTATGGCATCTAGTTTATTATTGTGATAACACCTCCTCCAAACAGAAACAGAAATTCCATAACATAGGTGTGATTCAAAAGGGTGTGGTACAGTCCCTTATAGAGTGTTTTAGTACACAGCGTCTGATTCCACATAGTCTGACCAATGTCACTTTCAATTTACGATTTAACGCTCTCAAGTGAACCCACAAGCAACCCAGTTCAGTTTTTGGTCAATAATGACGTCCAAGACACTTAGTTTCCTCTACCTTTGTTAATTATATATTATTCAGTGTCCGTATCTAATTCATTAGTGTTTGAATCTGGTTCATTTCTACAGTTCGGCTTAAAGTGGATAAAACAACATTTCTTGTGTTGATATGCAGGCAAGTTAACTCTTCATATATGATGAACAAGTTTAGAGAATTTTTTAAGCGTTTGCAGTAAAGAGTTTTTAAACATTATCTACAACAATTGTTTGGAGTCATCGCAAAAAGTAAAAACTTACCTAGTCTTGATACTCTATATATATCATTGATTAGATAATGAAAAGCAAAGGAACCTAATACTGTCCCCCTGAGGCACACCAAATATTACAGACATTTTTTCGGATTCTTCTCCAAGTACTGAAACTATTGCTGCCTATTAAGAGGTAACTGCTATTAATTTATTTGCAGATCCCTCGAATTCCATAATCATTTCAGTTTTTTAAGCAGTTTACATGACAATTGTATCAAAAGCTTTACTTAAATCAATGAAGATGCCTATTACAGATTTTTATCTCTTAGTGTTTTTTCAATTTAGTCCGACAGAGAATTAAGTGCATGGCTTGTCGAATGATTTTTTCTGAAGCCATAATGATTTCATATAATAATCCTTGCTACTGGAAGAAACAGTAAAGCCTGAGAATATCAGATGCTAGTATTATCGCTGCGACGTTTTGGTGGAGGTGTGTTAGGGTCAACGTTTTATGCCAATAAGGGTCAAAGTTAGACTAAGTGTTGTACCTATTGACATTGTGAGGGTAATGGTTAAGGTTTATCACTACACCTTTTCATCTCTGACCACAATATTGCAAAATGCCATGTTGTATGTCACGTGACTAATTTATGCTCTGAGGGTCGGAAGTCGGAGGTCGGAAGTCAGTGGACTCTGTTGGAGTCCGCGGACCTCCGAGCGGATTCCGCCGAGCAGCGGACATCCGGCGTTCAAGTCTGCTGAAGTTCCGGCGGAGTCCCCGCCAAAGCACTCCGCCGGAGTCCTCACGGAACCGATTCCGCCTAGGTGCTTACTCTGCGGCGGACACTCTGCCGAGCCGCCGCGGGCCGCTCGGAGTCCGCGCGGACCTTTAAAGTCCCTCGGATTCCGCTCGGAGTCCCGCTTCGCTCCGCTCGGAAGACCGCCAAAAATGTACTCAGGTTCCAGTGTAAATACATTTTAGCGGAGCATCCGCCTTATTCCGCGTCGGAGTCCGGCGGCACACGCCGCGGACTCTTACTCCGCGACGGAAAGTGCCAATAAAAACGACTTCTGATGTCTTAGAAAGTTCTAGAATAAACTGATTGTTTCAAAACAGGAAAGAGACAACATTTTATCTGTACACCATTGATTTGATAATTAATTATTAGTTAAATCAAGTTATTAAACAAATATTCAAAAATTATAAAATTATTTTCGATCCAAAAAATTTTAAAATTACGTAACATGAATAATAAACAACTTTTCACTAAATTAATCGGGAAATCGAAGCAGCTACTTTATTATATGACCCATATTATATACAAGATAAGAGTAACCTCTAAGGGAACTAACCGGAATAAGCTCGGGAGGTCCCTGATCCCCGGAGATGAGAAGCTGGTAAAGCTGGAGCACGTGAGTTCGTGTCAGCTTGTGGTGGATCAGATACTGCAGACTATCCACGCCCGACTCTGCGATAATGGGTTAATTAGTTAATTAGAGATTTAGTTAATTAGTTAATTAGTTAATTGGAGATTCAATTAATTAGTTAATGGTTAAGTCGAATTAACAAATAAAATTGCAGGTACTTATAGAAGGATAATTTTCAAATCTATCAGCTCCGAGGTGAACAATGTTTGTGGTCAACAGTCATTATCACTTATCGAGTAATGAAACACACAAACTTAAGGTACTTGAGCAACACGATCAGTTCCAGACCATATTAGGTAATGTTCCAGACCATATTATTATTAGGTAATGTTCCAGACCATATTAGGTAATCCCTCCCTTGCTGAGCTGCAATTACAATATCAATAAGATAATGGAGCCCATTACATAGCCTTCCAGTATTGTATTCAGTGCAGGTCTCTCAGTAACTTACAACTCTATAGTATCGTGTTGAGTATACCCTTATATGGGCATCACGTGTTTAGTATACCCTTATATGGGCATCACAAGGTAACTTTCAACTACGACCTGCCCATTGGTCAGGTTCGGGCAGGGCTTAGAACCATCAAATCAGTATTTTCAACCAGCCTTTTGTTTGCAAGGCATGATTAACTTCCCAACACAGCTATGTACAGTAGATATACCGTGACAATTATTGTCCGCAGGTAACACGAGTGTTGAGTATACCCTTATATGGGCACCACGTGGTTTATCACAATCTCCTTACAGAAACTCTAGAACTAGCAGTCTACACTGCGACCCCAGACACCAATTTCATCTGACAAGGTAGGTACATACTCATCTCTCAAGCTCTCAAGCTCGGCTGTATTGATAGAACTCAGTGTTATTAGATTTCTAGAAACATTGAGAAATCAGAAATGAAACAAGGTGTATCAGATGAGTAGCGTGATTATCACTATTTGCACGTGCTACATTATCACTATTTGCACGCGCTACAGGATACTTTATAAATGGTTCGACAAGTTCAATAATATGGAAAACGCAATGATATGAATTATGACTGAGTGCAGATAATACAACTAAATTACACACTTGAGGGGATTATAAGGAAGCCCGATTTAATTGAAACTATTACGAGAATACGATATACATTACATGTAATATAATAATGTACACCGTGATTAAGGTTACAGAGGAGTGGTGATAGTGAGTATTTTGTACTTGATACCACAGAGACCCACTGGGGGAGGGAGGTTGATATTTCGCAAGACCACTGAGACCACAGAGATTACCACTGAGACTACAGAGACCACAGAGACCACTGAGACTACAGAGACCACTGAGACTACAGAGACCACTGAGACTACAGAGACCACTGAGACTACATAGATCACTGAGACTACAGAGACCACTGAGACTACAGAGACCACTGAGACCACTGAGACCACTGAGACTACAGAGACCACTGAGACCACTGAGACCACTGAGACTACAGAGACCACTGAGATCACTGAGACTACAGAGACTACAGAGACCACTGAGACCACTGAGACTACAGAGACCACTGAGACCACTGAGACCACTGAGACTACAGAGACCACTGAGACTACAGAGACCACTGAGACCACTCCAGCTGAGTACTTTACAACAATTCGGCTCTATTTATAATTCAACAATCAACTGGTTCCTTTATCGTCACACAGTGTATGGTAAAAGATTCGAACGTAACCACTTTATATAATACTATTGATACAGCTGCCGATAGTTGGATAATATCCGGTTGGAAGAGACAAGGACAAATGAAACAGGAAGTTAGGAATGTAGGCAAATTTTCGCAACTTACCGCTGTGAAAGAGAAGCTTCCTGTCCGCGTCGTCCAGAAGGTGCAGCAGCGAGGGCATTATTGTAGTGACAATTAGTTCGGGAGTGCAGAGGTCTCGGTACAGAATCATCGTGCTTATACCTGTTAAAATAGTGACGTCACGTGAGTTAAGTTGTGACGTCATGCTGTTAAAATAGTGACGTTGTAGTGTGACGTCACGTGAGGGAGAGTGTGACGTCACGTGAGGGAGAGTGTGACGTCACGTGAGGGAGAGTGTGACGTCAGAAGATGCTGAATACACATGACGTAGACCGTAGAAAGATGAATAGTACAAAACAACTGAATTTATTTTAACAAGGGTCGGAGAAGGGCACTAACCTATATTGGACATGTGCTGCTGTCTGCTGAGACTGCTGTTTTTCGTGTAGTGTAGCGCGAAATAGTTTCCAATATCACGCATCTGCAAGATTTGCACACAACGGTAAACAATGATATAGTTCAGTTAAACAATGCCGGGAAATATAAATAGGATGAGCAAACTATTTATTAACGCAAAATATGAAATTATATGTAACAAGATACAGTAAAACCCCGATTTACCGCGCCCCGATTTACCGCAATCTCCTTTCCCCAAGATATGGCTTAACGTGCATAATGTAAAGTGTAAACGAACAAAAACCCGATTTACCGCGAACCCCGATTTACCGCGGATGTTTCCTTTCCCCAAACTCCGCGGTAAATCGGGGTTTTACTGTATTACTCTTATCGACAATATATTATATTGTTAAGAAATATTAATTACCCGTGTCAAGGCGGCTTTCCTACTAAGTACTTAAATGATAAAAAGAGTAAAAGGATTACGTAACTTACTGCACTACGTAACTTTAATTAATATCTTATAATAAGAATACGATAGTTTACTTCTCGTCGTGTAAAGATAGTAAGAGACACAGTGTATGGAATGGAAGTGGTAATTTAACGGTTAACTATGAAAATAATATAATATGTAAACAATAAACACGTGATGCCCATATAAGGGTATACTAAACACGTGATGCCCATATAAGGGTATGTATAAACAAACATACCTCTTTTAGGAACAAGTATTTAAGTAGTTTAGTTCTGAGTTGTTGACTTCCTTTACTACAAAGTGAGCTGAGGTGTTCTCCCAATGTTGTGATCAGTGTTTCGTTACTGTCTCGTAACACCTGACCAGGTTTAAATATAGCGGTTTTTAGAAACAATTAAGTTATTGAATAACAAAACCAACCAGTTCCTTTGCAATAAGACAGTACTTATCTATAGTAAGTGAAACTGAAGCTAACTAAGCTAACTAAGCTAACTAAGCTAACTAAGCTAACTAAGCTAACTGAGCTAACTCAACTCATTAAGCTAACTAAGCTAACTAAGTTAACTAAACTAACTAAGTTAACTAAGTTAACTAAGCTAACTAAGCTAACTAAAGTTAACTAAAGTTAACTAAGCTAACTAAGCTAACTAAGCTAACTAAGCTAACTAAGCTAACTAAGCTAACTAAACTAACTAAGCTAACTAAGCTAACTAAGCTAACTAAGCTAACTAATTTAACTAAGCTAACTAAACTTACTAAAGCTAACTAAGCTAACTAAGCTAACTAAGCTGGCTAAGCTAACTAAACTTAACTAAGCTTACTGAAGCTAACTAAGCTAACTAAGCTAACTAATTTTACTAAGCTAACTAAGCTAACTAAACTAACTAAGCTAACCTGGCAGTAGTCAGACAAGCAGGACCAATGATCGGAGATAGATTTATTTGCATTTTGCTGCTTCTTCCGCTTCTCAAACAAATCATTAGAGAAGTTCATGAATCGTTCCTTGAAGTCAGCAGCTTGGTATTGTGGAGAGGAGGAGGGAGAGGTAGGGAAGAGAAACTCATACTTATCAGCAGTCAGTACTACCTGTTAAAAGGGAGCTGTCAGTAATACCTGTAATAGGACACAGTCATTATAGTGAGTACTGCCTGTTAAAGAGAACAACAGTGAAATTAGAGTGTTATTAATTGACGGTGGTGGCGCTCTAATATAACTTGCGGGATGATATTTTATCCCAAACTTCACAAAAAAGTGGGTTATTTCTCAGAAAAAAGGGATATTTCCAGGAGAGATGCTGAGCTGAGTAGAGAATGTTCAACAAGAACTATCGTGTAATCTAATTTACAATAAATACACTGGTCACAAAGATGGGTCACATTACAAAAAAAGGGGCTATTATTTTAAAGGAGCAATATACATTGATACTTTGATAAAGAGCAAGATATGTCGACCATTTTTAGTCAAATCACTAAAGATATGAACAGTCTGTACACACTACTAAAGTATTGGCACGTGTCCAACACACTGTTAAAGTATTGACACGTGTCCAACACACTGTTAAAGTATTGGCACGTGTCCAACACACTGTTTAAGTATTGACACGTGTCCAACACACTGTTAAAGTATTGGCACGTGTCCAACACACTACTAAAGTATTGGCACGTGTCCAACACACTACTAAAGTATTGGCACGTGTCCAACACACTGTTAAAGTATTGGCACGTGTCCAACACACTACTAAAGTATTGGCACGTGTCCAACACACTGTTAAAGTATTGGCACGTGTCCAACACACTACTAAAGTATTGGCACGTGTCCAACACACTGTTAAAGTATTGACACGTGTCCAACACACTGTTAAAGTATTGGCACGTGTCCAACACACTGTTAAAGTATTGACACGTGTCCAACACACTACTAAAGTATTGGCACGTGTCCAACACACTGTTAAAGTATTGGCACGTGTCCAACACACTGTTAAAGTATTGGCACGTGTCCAACACACTACTAAAGTATTGGCACGTGTCCAACACACTGTTAAAGTATTGGCACGTGTCCAACACACTGTTAAAGTATTGGCACGTGTCCAACACACTGTTAAAGTATTGGCACGTGTCCAACACACTGTTAAAGTATTGGCACGTGTCCAACACACTGTTAAAGTATTGGCACGTGTCCAACACACTACTAAAGTATTGGCACGTGTCCAACACACTACTAAAGTATTGGCACGTGTCCAACACACTGTTAAAGTATTGGCACGTGTCCAACACACTGTTAAAGTATTGGCACGTGTCCAACACACTGTTAAAGTATTGGCACGTGTCCAACACACTGTTAAAGTATTGGCACGTGTCCAACACACTACTAAAGTATTGGCACGTGTCCAACACACTGTTAAAGTATTGGCACGTGTCCAACACACTGTTAAAGTATTGGCACGTGTCCAACACACTACTAAAGTATTGGCACGTGTCCAACACACTGTTAAAGTATTGGCACGTGTCCAACACACTGTTAAAGTATTGGCACGTGTCCAACACACTGTTAAAGTATTGGCACGTGTCCAACACACTGTTAAAGTATTGGCACGTGTCCAACACACTGTTAAAGTATTGACACGTGTCCAACACACTACTAAAGTATTGGCACGTGTCCAACACACTACTAAAGTATTGGCACGTGTCCAACACACTACTAAAGTATTGGCACGTGTCCAACACACTGTTAAAGTATTGACACGTGTCCAACACACTGTTAAAGTATTGGCACGTGTCCAACACACTGTTAAAGTATTGGCACGTGTCCAACACACTACTTAAGTATTGGCACGTGTCCAACACACTACTAAAGTATTGGCACGTGTCCAACACACTACTAAAGTATTGGCACGTGTCCAACACACTGTTAAAGTATTGGCACGTGTCCAACACACTGTTAAAGTATTGGCACGTGTCCAACACACTACTAAAGTATTGGCACGTGTCCAACACACTGTTAAAGTATTGGCACGTGTCCAACACACTACTAAAGTATTGGCACGTGTCCAACACACTGTTAAAGTATTGGCACGTGTCCAACACACTGTTAAAGTATTGGCACGTGTCCAACACACTGTTAAAGTATTGGCACGTGTCCAACACACTGTTAAAGTATTGGCACGTGTCCAACACACTACTAAAGTATTGGCACGTGTCCAACACACTACTAAAGTATTGGCACGTGTCCAACACACTGTTAAAGTATTGGCACGTGTCCAACACACTGTTAAAGTATTGGCACGTGTCCAACACACTGTTAAGGATTGGCACGTGTCGAACACACTACTAAAGTATTGGCACGTGTCCAACACACTGTTAACAAACCTTTTCAAGTCCGGACAGCACTTTACACTGTACGTGTTCAGGACGCTGCTTGTAGTTCCACAGCAACAATGTGAACGTCTGAAGAGAAAAAGAGTGTGTTATACCACAATCCATAAAATACATTACTTTTTACATATTTTATAATTCAACCATCTTTGACATCATAAAAGTGCTTTTTGTGAGTGAGCATAAAAATCATATTAACATAAAGGCGATATTATCTAAGTAAGGGGGCCCGCCTATCAGCCCCATTGCACAAGGACCAATCAGACCAAAAATAACTAAAAGCTTATCCGGTCTCAGAATCACGACCCGGATAAGTAATGAATATTGAGACGGCCCCAAAATGCGGGTGAGAATAATCCGTTACCAGGGTTACCAGGGTTACCAGGATTACCATAGTTACCAGGGTTACCATAGTTACCAGGGTTACCATAGTTACCACTACCCGGGTTACCATAGTTACCAGGGTTTCCATAGTTACCTGTTTAAGAGACACATTATACTGGTTACCAGGGTTACCAGGGTTACCGGGGTTACCAGGGTTACCAGGGTTCCCATAGTTACCTGTTTAAGAGACACATTACACACTACACCGTGTTCCAGGCAACTATCCAACACACACTCCTGAAAAAAACAATCATTACACATATTTACATAATACTACACAATATGATATTGACATAACTTACATAATCGTAACACTGTTACATTTTGTTTGTTACATTATTCATAACTTATATTATCATTCATGAAGTTGTTTATTAAATGTAAATAGTATACGGTATTATTATAACATATTCAGGTTACATAATTCCGTCACGAACATTGGGTAAGAATTATCTTTAACTAGACATTTTAGGATCATGGTCAACAAAATAGTTTTTAACTATAAATCAGCTCTACCTCAATTTAAAAGCCATCTTATACACCTAAGAAAAACCATAAAATATTCTCAAACAAATTAATGAAAAGTCGGGTACATACCTGTAAAAAGACGGAATTGGAGAGGGCGAATGTAAAGAAGAGAGCTGAGCCAGGGGTGGAAGTGCTGTCAACAGAGTCTCCAATAATTCTGTTTTGTTCTATGTATTCTGTTAATCCTGATCTGTGGGGTGAGGGGGTGAGGGGGTGAGGGGGTGAGGGGGGGGGCAGTGAGACTTACTGAGACTATTCCTACTAGTCAGTAGTGATACGCTGGTAGCAAATAATTGATATTTGTACTAACAACTATCATCAAAATTGTCTTTTATTCGAATACTGTCGCAATAATAACCGCTATCTAAACACGTGATGCCCATATAAGGGCATCACGTGTATGTAAGGGTATACCAAACACCACACGTGATGCCCATATAAGGGTATACTAAACACCACACAAACTAAAGAGAAAGATTGTGACGTATTGTCTTACTTCTCGCTCATCTCGATAGCACCGTGCAGTGAAGCTAGATGTGTTATCAGTGTCTCCGAACTGGCTTTAAGTAAGTCGTCTTCTTTTTCACACATCACCTGAAATAGATTTAAAGGCTTCATCAATCTACTGAGCATCCTTTAGTAACGATTGTAACAGGTAACAGTAGTGTTGTCATGGTAACAGTAGTTACAGTAATAGTCTCATGACGATTGAAACTATGGTACGTAAATCGATTAAATGGATCAAGTCAGATAGATCAAGTCGACAAGTCAGATAAGATATATAAAGACAGCCACCTCGCCGCAGTTGCAGAGTGTATTGGCACACTGTTTGAACCCCAGGAGGAAGAATTGAGCAAAGAAGGTAGAGAATCCTGTAATGTCGTTGCCAGGGAGATTCAGACTCTTTTCCAGCAGGATTAGGAGTCCTGAAAACAGACAATCAGTAAAATTATCCCTTTTGTAATAAATGTTTTTCAATATTTTTTCAATATTTTCAAAACTTTACCTAATTAAACATGACAAATGTAAAACTAATTACAACACTACAAATCTTTTACATTTATTGAGCGGGCATATCCTGTCCAAACCCAGATGCACGACATGAAGAATTCGTTATAACTTTGTATGAAAAGCATTAATATATATTATATATATATAATGTATAATCCCCACCCTTACCAGTTAAAAGAGTAGATTTGATGTTAGCATCAGAACAAGTGTCAGCAAGAGCGATCATCTGATCCATAAACTGACTCTGAGCCAGCAACAGCACATCTTTACTGATGTTATTAATTGGATTAATTATATTTCGAGCAAAACTTCCAAACTCGAAGTTGTTAATTTTAATTTCGAAGCATCAACTACCCATAAGAATCATTTCAAATATTAATTATGTACGAAATATTGCACATCAGATTAGATCGCATTTAAAATTAATGGTAAATATGGAAGACTGACACAAGGATAGAATTAGCAATAGAGAGGATGGTTAGGAGTAGGGACCGCTTTACAAACACACTACAGACAGGACTTCTAGGTGGCTCCTTTTCAGTTTGCTCCGAACACTGCTGACCCAGAACTCCAATCAAGTGAGCTAGAATTATTATTGAGACCTGACGTATTCTAGTTAAATTCAAATTAAATTATTGTTGAATATTTATAAAAATTGTGTTGTCAATGATACATGGTCATTAATGAGTTTAACATTTACATTGCAGATAAGTTATATAGGTACAAAAGAAATTTTCTAAACATCAAACTTTGATTCTTCTAAAATTTGTTTCACATGATGAAAGGTAAATCAATCGAGCTACAAAAACCTTGTTTTCAGGAATTGAAGTACATCTTTGGACACAACCCAAGTTGTTGGCAAGGTTAAGGAGATGTGACAAGGACAAGTAGAGTGATCCTCGCTGTTGAGCCTCACTTTCTGGGTCTATTTTAGGATCTTTTTCTGTATCGTTACTCTTGGATTCTTTCTCTTCCACGATTTTCCCAGCTGTTATATTCTCTGCTTCATTCATTGTTGTCTGTATTTCTGTGTTTGTAGTATTCACAATCAACACTGGTTCATCACCAAAACACTTGTCCAAAGAGCACGTTGAAAAGAGATCTGGGGTTAATTTGATTAACATTTATTTATAAATTATTATGCTTAGCAGCTTTGGAAGTGTAATCCTATCTTATGCTCATGTATTAAACATGTGATCTACATTTGTGTTCACTAATTGAATTGGATTACAGATCCACTTACAATGGCCAGGGCATTATAAACAATAACCCTACCATGTGCATTATCAACCCCTACAGGATGATGCAACTAATTTGGAAATGTGCAAACGTTAGTTCGACTGTGGAGAGGAACCTGGTTTAAGTAAAACTGAGCTCCTACCTGTACTGATGACAACATTTGTATTCCAGTTCATGATAAAGTCTATGAGACTCAATACCAAAGGAGCTAGTTCACTGATGTGGGTTGTAGGCTCTGACTGAAAGTAAAACACTATTTATCTCCTTTATCCTTTCATTGAATCATCAATAAACGTTAAGAACACATCAAATAATTTCACCAGCACAACCACAGTTAATAGACCAATGTAATATAATATCCTACTTGTTTGGTGAGCAAAGATAATGTTTCAATAAGAAGTGTCCCATGCTGGCTCAAAAGGTATTCCTCCAGGACACTCTCCTTCGAATTTTCGTCACAAAGGCCCATGATATCGGTTATAAAGTGCTCCATGAGCACACTCTGGACACTGGCCAGATCCCTGTAACAAGTTTAAATATTTATGATAACAGGATTAATAGCAAATTTCTGTTGATTTGAATTTTAATAGTGCAACTTTAAAAATATGAATATTATGAAGATGTATACTTACAAAAGAGTACACTTGGAAGACTGATAAAGGTCCTGATAACATTTCAGAAATTGCTCTAAATTCTTATTTCTTTTTAGGCTATCGTTCTTCTGAGAATTGATGTATGTGTGCCACACTGCTTGAATGTCATTACTCATATCACCATTGCCGACACTAATTCTATCGAAGTCTATAATCAGTTAACATCATCAATGATAATGACATATGATATTATCCACAAATTAAAAGTCACAAGATGATATTTAGATAAAAGATTCAAGATTGTATTCAACGAGTACTATAACAGCTGTTAAACTTAATACCATTAGAGCAATGTCAGTATAAGTAGGTACACTAAGACTACTTTTAAAAAAATGTAATCTCTTCTTTCCTCTCTTTCCTGTTTCTATACAGACATGTCACATCATGACAGCTACATGGCATCAAGAGCTAAAACAGTTGCAGCCGGGTACTCAGTGCATTCAGATGCAGAAATAGAGTCACAATGTTGACAATATACAAGTTTCTAGTCCGTAGTCATTTAGAGTACTGCTGCCCTCTGTGGAATACCAGAAAAATCTCAGACATCTAAAAGATTGAAGGAGTACAGTGTTCTTTTGCCTTAAGGATTTGGGTTGTTCAACATTTTACAGCGACTCAAAGTACTAATGCGAAGGAGGAGAGAGCGTTATCATCCATATGTGGAAGATCTTTCACCAACGCTGCCCAAAATGATGATGGTGAAAATTTTGAAAATAACTGGCTACACCGAGCATTTTATTAACAATAAATAGAAGAGATCAAAAACTTAAATTTCCAACAGACTAATTTTAAATGCCCTCCTTACAAATTATACTCCATTAAAACGCTTGAAACATCAATAATTTAGTATGGAATTAAAAATTTAAACACTTGCTACACTTCAAAATACTAGAATCAATGTTCATAGAACAAAATATTTGACCAGTCACTCGACGTTTCAAAATGAAACTGAGGTTGAAAAAGCAGCTACCAAAGGCCACTGGTTCTCGATGGTTATTGAAACAAACTTTGCTTTCTCCAAAACATCAATTTATAGCAGTCCATATCTGCCCAAATACCCAGTGACATAAATTTAAAAAGGGACTAGGAATCCAGTCTGGAAAGAAAAAACGGCTACCATATATTTTTAAAACGACTACCATAAATTTTTCGGCCGCTCCGCGGCCGGAACGATTTCATTTTACTTTGCTAGTTATATTACAGAGGTTTAGTTATTCATTAGTATAGTTATTAATTCATTAGTATAGTTATTCATAATTGCCAAAAGATTGTGAAAGAATTCCTTTCCGGGTCTCGAACTCGCGATCTGCTAATGTAGTAACGATGGATTAATCAACTAGGCTACGATTTCATGTACGCTTTTGTAATATTTACATATAGGTCTTCGCGCGTTCCTGCAACTACCATACTACCATACTACCAAACAGTCCATACTACCATACTGGTAGTAGGAAAATCTTGGATCCTGACAGAAATATCTTGGATTATTTGGTAACGCGCAAGTTAAGCGCAAGAACTAGGATCCTGACAGGAATCTGGCATTTGCGCTCGATTCGAACATCTTCTCGGATAAATATAGAATTAAAGTACAGTGCGCGGCGTTACAGTGTGTAACAACCGAGAGCGACTATTTTAAAGTTGATTTAATAATTTTGTTGACAAAAATTAGTCGGCGTGGCTATGGAAATTAATATGGCTAGGAATTAGATTCTTAGATTCCTCACTTTATGTCACTGGGCCCAAATAAAAAGACTTGTGATCCATTTTCTACCCTATCAAAACACAGAATCAATGCTACCATTTGAAGTACTATACCAGTACTCGAGAGCTGGCAAAGTCAATAAAGACATACCAGAGTACTGCAGGCCCCTTATTGTCAAACTCTATGACATAGAAGACGTAAAGTACTACACGAATGGAGGGAGAGGAATCCGGTCAAAAAGTGGTCATTGGATAAACGAAGATTTGTGCAGAGCTGACCGTAAGGCAAATTTTCAAGCACGGGAGGAAGCAGAGAAGAGGAAAAAGCAGAAGAACACAGAGAAGAGTCAGAAGATCGAAGAGAAGGAAGCTACAGTTGCAAAGGAATAAGCATATTGTATACTAATGCTAGTAGATTCTTTAACAAAATAGATGAAGTAAAATGTTTATTGATGCTAAACAAGAACATTGATATTATATGTGTCACAGAGACACATTTTGATAATGATATTTTAGATGCTGAAGTTCAAATTGACGGTTACACAATTTTTAGAAAAGACCGTGACTTTAAAATTGAATCTTCTAAAAAGGATATTAGTTCTGGAGGAGGGTCCATCATTTATGTTAAGAATTATATTAATTCATCATTAGTAAAAGAAAGTTGTAATGCACTTGATTCTTTAGCTGTGTTAATAGATACTGCAAGTGGTAAACTTTGTATTGGATGTATTTATAGATCACCATCTTTAAATTCTGACCAAAATTTAAAATTAATTTCTTTTCTTAAAAATATTTGTAATTTTAATAATGATTTTGAAACACTCCTGGTAGGAGACTTTAATTTACCAGATGTCTCTTGGGAGACTGGTTGTGTAAATGGAGGTTTGGTCAGCACTAATAAGTCATTCTTGAATCAAGAAATCTATATTGATATGTTTAACGAAGCAGGGTTGTCCTGGTATTTTACTACTGAAATAACAAGGCGGCGGGTTGTAAAGGATAGACTCCAAGAGAGTCTGCTGGATCAAGTACTTTCCACCAATGATGCACTTATTAATAAATGCACAGTGCTGTCCCCGATTGGCAAAAGTGATCATGTCAGTGTGGTAGTCGATCTAAGTGTTTCTGTAGATTCAATTAAATGTAAAGAGAAGATTCTGAAACCATCATGGGGTAAAATAACTAATGATGATATTTTAAAGTTTAGTATTGAAAATATTAACTGGGATTTTAGTTGCTCTAATGATGTTCAGCTTATGTGGGATGAGTTACATGGCAAACTTACGACTGTTGCTGGGATAGTACCGACTAATTCGGTCTATAAAAACAACAGACCTGTGAAGCTGCCATGGGACACATCCTCATTGAAGCGCATGAGAAAGAACAAAGATAAAGCATGGACTGCATTTGATATTGAACCTTCTAGTGTTAATCTTAGTCATGCAAGTAGTAAACAGCTCATCTATGAGAATGAGGAAGTGAAAGCAAAGATAAGATATGAGAAGAAGATAACTTCTGATTTAAAGATCAATTGTAAATCATTTTATTCTTATTTGAGAAATAAGAGTGAAACAAATTTTAGTGAAACAAATTTAAAATTTTATCCTTTATTTTACAATCATAATATAATAATATTTATAAGCCTCCGTTTTGAAAGTTTTAAATTTTAATACATTCACAATTCTATTTAAAATTCAATTTTATGTACAAGTCAATAACTGGCCGCCAAAGCCGCGCATTCTTGAAAACAGGATTAACTTGATTATAGTTATACGACTATGTAAATTTAAAACTATCCGTGGTTTTTTCTTTTAAATAAATAAATTATAATTTTACCTAAGTCCAAAGCCAGCTTTGAAAAATTTACTATTAAATCATAATATATCGTCAACTTTAAATATTTACAATGCAACAATTCATTAATTTGTAAACACGCGTACTCCAGCCCCTAAACGCATAAATTGTTATGCGGCGCGGCTCAAGCCGCGCACGCACGTATTATTTTATACTGTTTGCTTTCTAATAAATATCGTGCCAATGTGTACGTCTAAATTGTAAACGTTCATGTTTTGTGTAAAGTGAATCCAATTGGGACTAGTGACAAGGATAAGGACCCAAGTGCCTGTACGGCTTTTTCGGGCCCCTGTGGACCACTACTCTTGAAATCACTCTACAACATTGAACATCTATATCTACTACGTCATTTGGCAATTGTTGTCATTAATCTAACTTTCTAATTAATTGCCGAGGGGGAAGAGTAAACGCTTCACATTAAAATTCAATATACAAAATTCAAAACCATCAATACGGTATTAAATATTATGGACAAGTCTATAGATCTATTTCGTAGTCATATATTCACATGATTTGCTTTATATTATCTTAATACTGTAATGAAGTACAGTAGGATTTGTGTTTCGAGAAAGAAAGGTTGCGGTCAAATTATTAACAAAAGTAAACAAAAGTCCATCAGGGACTCCGTGGAGTCGAAAAAGGTACACGGCTGCTGTCTGGTGCTGCTAGGCATTTATTGATCAAGATGTTTTATTGTATTGATTTATAATGATTCTATTGTTCGTGACTAATCAAGTTCTAAGTGGAGGTATAAAGTGCTGCTCAAGATACTTCGTCATCTCATGTCCAGTATAGTGATTAAGATAGTATACAATGCAGTTTTAGTAGTTGACCCAAACAGTTAAGTCCGTCATATGCATAACTCACAATCGTTAAGTCGTCGGTCAATTGTCAAAGTCGTCGTGTGTTTATTCGTTGAGATAGCAGCAAGATATGACGTTACGCGCGCGCGTTTAATCCCGTCGACGTGAGATGTGACAATGAAAACGCCATAGAATTATTATTTTCGCGCGTTACGTAGAGTTTACCAGTGTGTAATACTAGTTAACACTGGGTGTACACTGAGTGTAAGTGTAAGTTTCATATACAAGCCGTTGAATATTTCCAATTTTGAGTGTATCGTGAGCATGTTTTACAGTGCGATTGCTCGGTACTAGTGTGTTTGTGTATATATATATATATCATTTGTGGAGTATGGTGTAAGTAATGTTTTTGGTTGGAGTGCAGTGGTTATATGTATGAGAAAAGATATATGGTCATTTTAGTAACTCAAATAAATCAGAACTTGAGCTCATTTGTGGCAAAATTAAGCTCACACCAATCAAGTGTATCATGCTTGAATTGCAATTCTCGTAAGGCAATTTTCAATATATTCTTAAACCCGTTTGTCGGAGTATTAAAACTTATCTTACTTGATGTTTGTCGACAGCTGTTCCACATGTAGGATGATTGGTAGATGAATTGTGAGGATGGTTGTGATGTAATGAAATAATCCTCTCGTCGTGGTGACCTGTTAAATGATGAGTACAGTGATAATGGTTCCTCTAACTTATTAATTTTGAATAGTTCTAAGAGACAAGTGTACTTGT